CGAGCCGGGTACAGCAACTAACGGGCAGGTAGGTACAGGGGGTCAGGCAGAGAATGGTCGGGTCACAAGCCAGGGATCAAACAGGAGAAGTCAGCAGAGGTCCGGATCAGGCTGGGTCGGCATCGAGTCAGTCAGGCAGGAACAGGAATGCAGGTAACAAGATACAGGGGCCCATGGAAAACCACACACCAAGGCCCAGACTGCAGGTCTGGCCATCCCTTAAATACACCTCCGTAATCAGCTTCAGGTGTTTGGCTGACTGCAGGGTTGAGTCTCTGATTGCTGAGAGCACCCGCTGGCCAGCCCTGGTACTGCAGCCCACAAGACAGGTGAGTCCCACCATTACTGGCAAGTCCATTCCTGACATCATCAGAGCTGAAATCAGAAGAAGACTTTGGAGTGACCAGAACAGAACTAGAGGAGACATCTTCTGGTTCTAGAGGAGAAATCTAGTTCTAGAGGAGAAATCTTCTAGTTCTAGAGGAGAAATCTAGTTATAGAGAAATATTCTATTTCTGGAGGAGAAATCTTCTTGTTCTAGAGGAGAAATCTAGTTCTAGAAGAGAAATCTAGTTCTGGAGGATAAATCTTATTGTTCTATAGGAGAAATTTTCTATTTCTAGAGGAGAGATCTTCTAGTTCTAGAGAAGAAATCTTCTAGTTCTAGAGAAGAAATCTTCTAGTTCTAGAGGAGAAATCTATTTTTAGAGGAGAAATTTTCTATTTCTCATTACAATCCCCCAGCTGTCTGTGCAATGCAGCTGCTTTATGTGGCTTGGTGACCACTGTCATCGGGGCTGAAATCAGAAGAAGACTTTTGAGTCACCAGAACAGAACTAGAGGAGACATCTTCTAGTTCTAGATGAAAAAATCTAGTTCTAGAGGAGAAAACCTCTATTACTGGAAGAGAAATCTTCTAGTTCTAGAAGGGAAGTCTTCTTGATCTAGAGGATAACTTTTCTATTTCCAGAGGAGAGATCTTCTAAATCTAGAGAAATCTAGTTCTAGAGGAGAAATTATTTCTGGAGGAGAAATTTTCAAGTTCTAGAAGGGAAATCTTCTATTTCAGGAGGAGAAATCTAGTTCTAGAGGATAAATCTTCTTGTTCTACAGGAGAGATTTTCTATTTCCAGAGGAGAGATCTTCTAGTTCTAGAGAAGAAATCTTCTAGTTCTAGAGGATAAATCTTCTTGTTCTACAGGAGAGATTTTCTATTTCCAGAGGAGAGATCTTCTAGTTCTAGAGAAGAAATCTTCTAGCTCTAGAGGAGAAATGTTCTTGTTCTAGAGGAGAAATTTTCTATTTCCCATTAAAATCCCCCAGCTGTCTGTGCAATTCAGCTGCTTTATTTGGCTTGGTGACCGCCGTCATCGGGGCTGAAATCAGAAGACTTTTGAGTCACCAGAACAGACTTAAAGGAGACCTCTTCTAGTTCTAGAAGAGATATCTAGTTCTAGAGGAGAAATTTTCTATTTCTGCAGGAGAAGTCTAGTTCTAGAGGAGAAATCTTCTAGTTGTAGAGGAGGTATCTTCTATTTCCAGAGGAGAAATCTTCTAGTTCTAGAGGAGAAATCTTCAAAGTTCTAGAGGAGAAATCTTCACAGTTCTAGAGGAGAAATCTTCTAATTCAAGAGGAGAAATCTTCTAATTCTAGAGGAGAAATCTTCTATTTCCAGAGGAGAACCCTTCTAGTTCTAGAGGAGAAATCTTCTAGTTCTAGATGAGAAATCTTCAAAGTTCTAGAGGAAAAATCTATTTCTAGAGGAGAAATCTTCAAAGTTCTAGAGGAGAAATCTTCTAGTTCTAGAGGGAAAAAATCTTCACAGTTCTAGAGGAGAAATCTTCAACGTTCTAGAGGAGAAATCTTCAAAAATTCTAGGGGAGAAATCTAGTTCCAGAGGAGAAATCTTCAAGTTCTGGAGGAGAAATCCTCCAATGACAACTGTCTAGGAATGGCAACTCACCTAACATTAGAGGGATTTCTTCACTTCCTGTGGCATTTTACAGAACAGGAAGTGATGGGAAATCTCTGGAACAGCACACACATGGCAAAAAAAAACTAACAGGTGTTTTAACCCTTCCCTACTATATCCTAAGTGGGGGAAAAAAAAGTGTTTTTGAGCTATACATCCACTTTAACTACTTAAGCTCCAGAAGGTTTTACCCCCTTCATGACCAGGCCATTTTTTGCTATTTAGCACTGCGCTACTTTAAAGTGATATTAAAGGCTTGTCTTTTTTTTTTTTAAAATGCCAAACATGTCATACTTACCAGCTCTGTGTAATGGTTTTGCACAGAGCAGCCCTGATCCTCCTCTTCTTGGGTCCCCCACTGATGCTTCTGGCCCCTACCTCCTGCCAGGTGCCCCCCACAGCAAGCAGCTTGTTATGGGGGCACCCAAGCAGGCGCACTCCCGAGCCGCTGCTCTGCGTGTCCATTCACACACAGAGCCACAGCTTGTCCCTGCCCCCTCTCTCTCCTCATTGGCCCACTGTCTTTGATTGGCAGCAGTGAGACCAGTGGCTTCTGCTGCTGCCTCAGCCAATAAGGAGTGAGGGTCCCCAGAGAGCCGAGGCTCTCATGCACATCACTGGATTGCGATGGGGCTCAGGTGAGTATGAGGGGAGCTGGGGGGGGGGGGGGGGGCTGCTGCACACAAAAGGTTTTATACCTTCATGCATAGAATGCATGAAGGTAAAAAAAAAAAACCTTCTGCCTTTACAACCACTTTAGCTGACAATTGCATGGTCATGCAGTACTGTACCCAAATGAAAATTTATTTTTTCCACAAATAGAGCTTTTTTCTGGTGGTATTTGATCACCACTGGAGTTTTTATTAAATAAACAAAAAAAAGACTGAACATTTTGCTCTAAACATATTTAATAAAAACATTTACAAAATCAAATGTCTTCATAAAATTTAGGCCAAAAGGTATTCTGCTATATATATTTAGTAAAAAAAAATAATTCCAATAAGTGTATATTTATTTGGTTTGTGCGAAAGTTATAGCGTCTACAAACTATGCGATATCCCACTTGGAAGAAAAATATATTTTAAATATATATAAAAAATATTCTTCCCAAATATATTGCCATATATTTGAAATACTAAAATTTTGGCCATATTCAATATATTTCAAAATATATTTCAATAAATATATATACTGTATGTTGAAATGCGTTTTTTATAAAAAAAAATATGAAAATATTTTTAAAAGTACATTTCAAATATACTGTGTGTCTTTAGAACAACAAATCTACATTTTTGGAACGCATTTACAAATATATGTAAAAAATATATGTTAAAATGACTTTTTTACATGTTAAAAAAATCTGAAGAATATATTTAAAAAATATATATATTTTTAAAAATATATATTTTTTTTAAATATATTCTTCAGATTTTTTTTTAACATATAAAAAAGTCATGTTAACATATATTTGTAAATGCATTCCAAAAATGTAGATTTGTATTTTTAAAGACATACAGTATATTTGAAATGTATTTTTAAAAATATGTTTCATATATTTTGTAATAAAAACGTATTTTAACATACAGAATATATATATATATATTTATTGAAATATATTTTGAAATATATTGATTATGGCCAAAATTGTAGTATTTCAAATATATGGCAATATATTTGGGAAGAATATTTTTAAAATATGTTTCAAATATATTTTTCTTCCATATGGGATATACTGGAGCTTTTAATTTTTTATTTTTTTTTATACACTAGTAATGGCAGTGATCAGCAACTAAAAAATGGGAGTATGATAGTGCGGAGGGGCAATCTGATACTGACTGACCCTTTGTGGGAACTGGCTGTGGTGTGTTCAGGAAGCAATGTATAGCCCCTCCCACCAGCCATGATATGCCTGCATTGTATAGTGAAGCAAAGAGACCCAGTGATGACATCATCTAATGAGATCAGAAATGCTATCAATGTCATTAGCATCTTGATGAGGGGGTAGGGGAGAAACCAGGGAAGGCAAAATATTAGCCTGCCTCAGTTCTCCTGCCAAGAGTCCTCAGCTGTGATGCAAGCAGTGGGCAGGTTCTTGGGAGGAGTTATGCAAATATCACAATGCCCTGATGGGCGGGTGTCAATCTGGAGGAGTGGATGTTCCTAGGCGGGCTGTGCAGACCGCCCTGGGAAACATGATGCTGAGCCTTTGTGACTAAAAGAGTTGAAATCCAATGAACGAAAGAGAGAAAGTCAGGCTAGATGATGCCGGATGTCCTCCAGGCAGGAAACGAGGCGGAGCTCTCTCTGACTTGCTGCAGCTTCTAATGCACACTGTGAGAAGCTCGCAGTGTGCGGGGAAATCAGAGGAAGCAGTTTTAGTAGAGGGGAGGAGCCAATACAACTGTCCTCCCATTCATTCCTGAAGGAAAGGCTGGAGGTCAGCTGGTAGCCAAGTCACCTGGTGTCAGGAGTGGGATCTGAACCCACAAACTCTGCTGTGTCTGGCAGTAGATCTTCTTGCAAAGCCACCTGAAATGCTGGACAGCTCCTTCCCTGATTACTTGGACACCCTTACCTTCGGTCTGGCGTCCGGTGAAACTTGCTCCTCCCATGGATTTCCTCCATGAGCCATGCCTTCGCACTTCCGGTTTGCCAGATTATTGTGCTTTTCTACAGCCAAGGTCTGGCTCCTGCTGACGGCTGCATCTTCACCACCACTCGTGGTTGAACTTGGCTTGTTCCTCAACCACATGTCTGCTTGATTCCAACCTGCAACCACGTGTTACCGGCTACTCTTCTGTTTGATCCCAACCTGCAACCATTTGTTACCAGCTACACTTCTGTTTGATCCCTACCTGCTATATTTGCTACTGGACCCCGGCTTGCCCGTCTCTGGGTGGGGCGAACCTGAGGACCACGACCTGGTGCTAACACCCAGCAAAACCCATCTCCACCCTCAGGAGCTCTGGTGAATTCTGGTAAGTGCTTAGACCTCCGGTGACCTGCTTGTATACTCATCTGGTTGGTCGGTGGGAGTCTCTCTACAACACGGGTGTCAAACTGGTGGCCCTCCAGCTGTGGCCAAACTACAAGTCCCATGAGGCATGGCAAGACTGACAGTTACAAGCATGACTCCCAGAAGCATGAGGGGACTTGTAGTTTGGCACCAGCTTGAGGGCCGCCAGTTTGACACCCCTGGTCTATATGGTACAGAAGGCTAATTAGTCACATCACATCCCCTAAGGCACGGGTGTCAAACTGGCGGCCCTCCAGCTGTTGCCAAACTACAAGACCCATGAGGCATTGCAAGATTGACAGTTACAAGCGTGACTACCAAAGGCAGAGGCATGATGGGACTTGTAGTTTCGCAACAGCTGGAGGGCCACCAGTTTGACACCCCTGATCTGCTGCTATAACTACGCGTCTCCGAGCCTGACCCCTCATGAAAGGAGCAAATCGGCTCCCATGGTTGAAATTGTACACTACGTAGTAAAAAAAAATATATATCCCAGCGCCAAAAAACAAATCCTAAGTGATTATGCAGCTGTGCAACAGTGAATAAACACCAATGATTAACAACAAAAAAACAGCGCAAAATCTACAAACAAAATTACACAAGTAAATAAATAAAAAAAATAAAAAATATAAAAAAATATATAAAATCAAGTGTCCATGTGAAAATAAGTTCTTATTCCCATTGAAATCAATAATAAATTTTTCGAAATGTGCTTCCACCTATCCACCACGTGAGAAATGATATTAACCGCACTCACCAGATAGAGGTGAGTAATGAGCCTTATAGGATATAAGGGATCCTATACCCCCTCCAAAAGAGATCAAATCTTCTTTTTTCACACTGATTGGGTATATTAATCGACTCCACTTTATTCCTCCATAAATTCCTCAATGTAATACTGCCACTTTATATAGAATAGAAAGATAGAATAAGGCCACTCACATGTTTAAAAACAATTAAAAGCCTTGTTTAATAGCCTAGATGGCTTCAAAATAACCACTTTCCACAGTTGCAAAATATAGGGATCTCATGCTTCTGTAGTGTCTGCACAGGATGAACAACCTTCCACCTCTAAGATGGCCGCTTGAACCGCATCACTCGGCGTGCGTTCCAAACACCGGAAATCACGTGAACCAGAATGACGGCGGCCCGGAAGTACGTCACCGCGTTTCGCCCCACCCACAGGGCGTTCTCAAGACACCGCCTTCAGTCACTAGCCGACATTTATACAGCTCAGGGTGAGCTCGATTCAATCTCCTATGCAAATCTCCATAAAATAACTCCCACTACAATGCATGGTTAATGAACCATTTCCATCGATGCTGCTAATACACGCCCACTATCCATCCCTCATCCTCTGTGATCTAGACGTGAGATTCCTTTACAAAAAATGATATACAGATAGTGAAACAAAATAGGTAAATACAATACATAATCGTTAATATATATATAAAAAAAAAACAATCACAAAACATTTATTACACAGAGAAAATTAAAAAATAAAATAAAAAATAATGTAGAAAAAAAATATGTAAATTAAAATGGAGATAAAAAATAAAAATAGAAAAATGAAAAATAAAAATAGAAAATAGAAAAAATAAAATAAAAAATTAAAAATTAAAAATCATAAAAATATAAAAAAAAAAATAATATATACAAAAATATAAAAAAAATAATAATAGAGAAAAAAGAAAAATGGAAAAAAAAATATATTGATATTACAAAATATTAAAAGAATAATAAAATAAAATGGAGTAATAAAACCAGAAGCCTATATTAAATATAAACAATGCACTCTCAATGAATAGACTAACTGACATCAAAAAATACATATAATAAAAACAACAAAATACATATAGAAAATGAATATTCTATATCTCAGTTACTCTACTCACCAATTGGACAAGAAACAATTAATGTCAATCTCTGCATTTAAACCTTTAGGAGCCAATGTTCCCATATTGTAAATCCACTTGGTTTCATTTTGCGAGATGCCTATTACCATATCACCTCCTCTCCACGGCGTCTCAACTCTATCTATTCCACAAAATTTTAAGAAAGTTGGATCCTTATTATGACAAACCCTAAAATGGTGTGATAAGCTATGGTATTTGAATCCTTTTTTAATGTTTCTAATATGCTCTCCCAGTCTAACAGATAATTTTCTAGTAGTTCTTCCTATATATTGAAGGTTACAAGAACATTCAAGCAAATAAGTAACATGATTAGTGTCACATGATATAAACTTCTTAATTTTGTAAGATGAACCATTAGAGCTTGATTTGAAACTATCAAAATATTTTTTATTATTATCACCTTTCAATAGCCTACATGCTAAACATCGTCCGCATTTGAAAAATCCAACCCTATCCAAAAAGGTAGTTACTTTCCTCGGTTTATCAGGAACATTCTTTACCAGCTTATCCCTTAATACAGGTGGTCTTCTATAAATAAAACTAGGCCTCTCCGGAAGTAGTTTACTAAGAACCTCATCTCTTTTGAGAATCGGCCAATGCTATCTTATCCATTCCACTAATTTAAATTGGCGAGAATAACTTGTTATAAAAGCCATACCTCCCATATGTCTATCTTTAGAATGTTTAACCAGCAGTTCTTCCCTATTGATTCTCTTGACCTGATCTACAGCACATTGCAAGGTCTGCTCCTTATAACCTTAATAATCTAAATCTATTCAACATGTCAGATTGATTTTGAAATACCCTGTTATCATCACAATTACATTTTAACCTAATAAGTTGGCTTTTAGGAATGGCCTTAAGCCAATTCCTGTGATGACAGCTATGATTAGGAATGTATCCATTCCTATCAACTTCTTTAAAGTGGGTCTTAGTAAAAAATCTATTTCCTTGCTTGTACACCGTCAGGTCAAGAAAATCAATGGCTGTTTCACTCACATGATGGGTGAAAGATAAATTAACACCATTATTCCCCATTTCATTAATAAAATCAACAAGTCCTTCTCTATCTCCTTTCCATAAAATGATGATGTCATCTATAAACCTTCTATATAGTAACAATTCTTTATTCCTACCTTCAAAAATTGCTTTGCCTTCCCACCTACTCATAAATAAGTTGGCTACTGATGGTGCATACTTAGCACCCACAGCCACACCCATAATTTGTTTATAAAACTTATTAGAGTGCCAAAAAAAGTTATGTGTCATTGCCAAATCCAGACATTTTAGAATAAATTCTATTTGGTCAGAACTTACTCCTGATTTACTTTCCAATTCCCATTTAACTGCTAACAAGGCATCATCCTGTTTTATATTAGTGTATAACGAATTTACGTCTACACTGGCCATGACGCACTGTTCTTCTTCATTGATATCTTTGAGTAAGTTAATCAGATCGCCGCTATCCCTTAGATATGCAGGGAAGGCAGAAACCAAGGGTTGCAGGAACTTGTCAACATACTTTCCCAGTCTGGAGAACAACGACTCAATCCCATTTATAATGGGTCTTCCTGGTGGTTTTGCCAAATTTTTATGAATTTTAGGTAATTGGTAAATCACTGGCACTTTCGGAGCCTTAGGCACCAAATATTTTGTCTCCTTGCTATTCAATATTCCCAGTTTTTATCCTTCTTTCACCAGTTTCATTAATTTCAATCTGAATTTTCTAGTAGGATTACTTTTCAATACTTCATATGTGTTACCATCATCCACCAATCTATTCAACTCTGTATAGTAATCTGATTTATTTAACACCACTACACCACCCCCCTTATCTGCTGGTCTAATTACAATATTTCTATTATTTTCTAACTTCCAAATTCCTTGGATTAAATCCTGTTTGTGTCAGGAATGGACTCGCCAATGGTGGTGGGACTCACCTGCCTTGTGGGCTGCAGTACCAGGGCTGGCAGGTGCTCTCAGCAATCAGAAGCTCACTCCTGCAGTCAGCCATCACCTGAGGCTGATTGCAGGAGGTGTATTTAAGGAATGGCCAGACCTGCAGTCAGTGCCTTGGTGTTTGTTTCCCATGTGCCCTGTTTCCTGTATCCTGCCTGCTCAACTCTCCTGCTTGACTCTGACTCTGATAGAACTCCGCCTGCACTGACCCCGGCTATTCCTGACCATTCTTCTGCCTGCTCCCGTTGTACTTTTCTACCTGATTGTTCCTGACTGGCCTGCCTGACTACTCCACCTCTCCAGCCCTGACTGCACCTGTACCTATTAGTTTAAGGTTTGTTTTGCACTGTGTTTGTTTATTTTGTGCAGCTCATAATAAATATTATTATTATTTAATCATTTCTGAAGCCTGCTGTTTCTCTGTGTCAGTCCATACATCTCTGGTCATACCTGGATCCCTGACAGTTTGGTTCTCAGCTTAGGGACAGACAAATGCTCCAAATCATGCTCTACCATTTTTTTAAACGTTTCCACACAATAATTATTCGCTATTTTAGGGTTAAAGACTGATTTATTCCTTAACTTAGTATGAAAATAGGGACCTTTGGTATCCTTTTGCATGTTCCTAATGGAATATAAACTTAGGTTATCAACCATAACCCCATTCACTGATCCAACATCATTATTGACAATTTGTCTCTTACTCCAATATTTTTTTAGATTGATCTTTCTGATATATTTTTGTAAATCTATATATGTATCCAATTTGTTAAGATGCTTCTCTGGTGCAAATTTTAAACCCATTGAAAGAACTTTCAATTCTTCTTCAGTTAAAACATAATCACTTAGATTGAAAATCCCTTGATTTACGTTGACCCTCTTCTTTTTCCCTTGCCCTCCTCTACACCACCTCCTCCCCAATATGGGTACTGATCCATCCTGGGTGGTCCCCATCCTCCTCTTCCTCTCCCGGGGTGGTAATAAGGCCCCCCCCCTCTCCCTCTCATATGATAAGAGCCTCTTGAACCTCCCCCTCTCCATGGGGGTCCTGCATAACCTCCCCTTGAAAAATTCTCTCTCCCTGTATTGTAACTGTATCCCCTAGAAGATGACATACCCCAATTATTAAGAGGTTCAAAATGATTTTTTATAGGTATATTATAACCAGATATATTATTTCTCAAAGAATTATTTTTGGGTGATGAATTAACAATACTATTAGGTGGGTTGCCCTTCGAATTATTTGTAGTGAGGGATGTTTTAAGAGATAATTTTTTCTCTCATCAACCAACTCAACAGAGGAATTTCTTGAATCACTATTACCCTCGGTGCTATCCTCCTGCCATTTATATACATTATTGGATTTATAATCCTGCATATCCCTACAATACTTTTTAATTTTTTTCTTTTGAGTGTCCTCATCTACCTTATTCATATGATCCTGAACTTGTTTCACTTTCTGTTTAAATTCATTGGACTCACTAATTGGTTGCATTTTATCTCTCAAATTGTGAATCCTTTCTTCCAAACTTCTTAATTTCC